CTTCTGTCCCTGCACATCTCAGTAAGAGAAATCAGGCCTCTTGACGCAGCCCAGAGCATCTCTCCCTCCCACTCGGCTACAAACCCTCCAGCCCCTGGGCTTTCCCATGGCTGTTCCAGAATCAACTAATATTCCTTGCGATGGTCAGTCAGTCAACTAACGTGGCTCTTATTGAGCACTCTCTGTTTATTGGGCCCTGTTCTAGGCACCTGGGATACTATAAGCAAAGAGGGTGAGGTTCTCACCCTCGTCGACCTTAGGAAGAGTTAGACAAGACAGTGAAAATCACACAAAAGGACACAGAATCACACCCGGTAACGAAGGCTGTGCAGAGAAACAGAGTGCACTAAGGAAGATGGGGAGGCTGATTTAGACTGGGGGGTAGGGGAGACTGGGGTGTCAGGGCCCCCATCTTCCTCCTCCCTAACAGATTTCTTGCTCTGTGCACTAACAGGCTTGCTTAGGGATCAAAGCTCCTTGCTCCAGGCTGGATACACAAGAACCAACCGCTCAACACCCTTTGGCTCCTGTTACGGTTTTCCTCTCCACCTCCTGCCACCATCTTCACACCCACCTCGAGCAGGGCATAGGGCTGGTGTCCCTGGAGATAGAGGAAGGCTAAGGCGACCTCATCTGTTGGCCTAGCCTTTTGTCTCAGTTCCTGAGGACTGACAGCCAGAGAAAGGAAGGAGCCATTGTCCCTGTGGCTCCCACTCTGGGCCCAGAATGGTGCCAGGCCCTTTAGAGACATGCCTTCTCTGACCGTGGCAACATCCCACGGAGTGGGGGCTACTATAAGCCCCGTTCTGCAGATGGGGAAACTGAGACCCAGAGAGGCCATGGCAGCTAGGGGCAAAGCCAAGGTAAGAACCTAAAGGGTCTTGGCTCTGGAGTCCGTGTTCTTCCTGCAACCCAGCAAAGCTGCTGGAACAAACACAATGGCCGACGGCAGCAAAGACAAAATAAAACAGAACGGAAAAGAGAAATCCACTAAAAACAATGTAAATGCCCATCAGCTGAGGATTAGTGAAGTAACTGATAATATTCATTCAGTAGGATTCTCCACTGCTGCTTGAAAAAGTGAGGCAGATGAATGCTTTTCACACTCTTATACTGTTTGCCACCAACATACCTTGTAGCTAAAATGATCTTGAAGTGGGTACAAAGCTCAGTTCACATGTGTGCAAGAAACAGCTTCTGTTCATTTTTTTAAAAGATTTTATTTATTTATTTGACAGAGAGAAACACAGAGAGTGAACACAGCAGGGGGAGTGGGAGAAAGAAAAGCAGTCTTCCCGCTGAGCAGGGAACCCCATGTGGGGCTTGATCCCAGGACCCCAGGATCATGACCTGAGCCGAAGGCAGACCCTCAATGACTGAGCCACCCAGGCTCCCCTGTTCATTTGTTTTATATCATCTTTCTTTCTATCCAAAGCCCCATCCCGCCAGGCTGGTGGGAAATTCAACCTCAGCCCTTCTTCACTGTCCTCCCAGCACACTCGGGGTCCGATCCCAGATAGTGCAAAAGTCCTGGGGCCACTTATAGCCGTGAGACAGTGGGCAGAGTGGGAGAAACCTGTTGCCAGGTGGAGAGTGGACTTCCATTCCCCCAAATACCTCCCTCCCCAGGTGTGAGCAGCTCCCCTAGGCTCTGCCCAGCTCCCCCAGCTCAGCAGGAACTGGGGTGCCCACACTTGCTCAGGGAATCCACAGCCTTCTGCCTCCTCTTCCATCACAGAGAACTTCTTTAGGGTCTCGGAGAAACAGCCCCATCTCTCATAACATTCCTGCAGGGGCTCTTCCTCTCTCCTCTCCCTCCAGGAGGCACCTCAGCTGCCCCATCACTGCCCCTCCCCCACTGCCCAGAAGCTTCTCAACAGACTGGGCTTTTGGTTACCAAAGCTAGTAGGGGAAGTGTAATTTTGCAAGTAACCTCCCTCTCCTGCTTCCCACACTTCCTCAAACCTCCCCCAAGGCAGGGACATCTAGAACTTTCTTCTGTGTGTTTCCTAGAGGAGAGAAAAATTACTATCTCAAAAAACTATCTTGTCAGTTTCTCCTGCTACATATAGTATGTATGTTATATGTACATATATGTACGTTATATAAATACGTATAGTATACATTTATTTATAAATATAAATAGATACTTAGTATGTGTGCTACACTCTTGCCACCCAATAGTCCTGAGTCACAGAGATGAATTTCTCTTGTTTATTATTTTTATTATCACTGAAATTAATGATCGTCTCACATGTCATATGAGAAATACATTCAGCTGCAAGGAACTTAATACCCAACTACCAGGGGCTGAAACACATTGGCATTTGTTTTCCTCACGTAACAGAAGCGCGGGGACCGGCACAGCAGGGTGCATCAAGGACCCAGAGCTCTTTCAGTTCTCTGTACTATGTCCTCACCTAGTCGGTTTCTCATCCGCGGGCTTGTTGCCTCGCTGTCCCAAGATAGCTGCTGTAGCCCCAGGCATCTCATTCGTGTTAAGGTAGGAAAAGGGGAGAATGAGCAGCCCCTTGTAGAAGAAAAGCAGCAACTTTCCTGGAATTGCTCCTTCGACTTTCCCCCGGCCCCGGATGTTGTGAGGTACCCACTGCTCTCAGGGAAGCTGCAAAGGGACCTGTTGACTTTTCCCACCTTCGTGATGGTGGCCAGAAAGGGAGAAGGGGATTGGGAATGTCTGCTGGTTAACCATACTGTCCGGCCCGCCAAGCACCAGGCTTTATGGTTTACAAAACCGCCACTGTTGCCATTTTACAGAAGCTGCCATGGAGGCTCAGAGACAGGACCGGGTCGCCTAAGGTCACGTGGTGAGGGAGGGGGGCAGACCGGACCGGAGCTGAGCCTGAGAACTTTCCAGTCTCCACACCGATCTGTGGGCTTCACACTCGATCTGCCCACAGAGCCGGGTCCAGAGTTGCGCCCTTCCCAGGCACAGTCCTGCCTGTCAGGGGCTGGCCCACGAAAAGGGCGGCATCCTATGGGCCTGTCCCACAGACCCACGAAGGACAGGAGGTGACAAAAGAGAGCGAGAGGGGAGAGAGGCAACAGAGGAGAGGGTATGAAGAAAAAGAGATGGGAGCTCAGAAAGGAGGCGGGGAGGTGGTTGGAGGGTGGAGGATGGAGGGCAGGAGAGAAAGGGAGGGAAGGAGGAAGGGAGGGAGGACATGTGGAAGCCATGGTGCTGGGCAGCAGGAGCCGAGGGGCATCCAGCAGCCAGACCCCTGGGTGGGCAGCAGTCAGCGCCGACATCCGCCCCCACCTCCACCACACGGCCCACCAGGGGAGTGTGGCCATCGCCTTACTGGAGGGCAGAGCGGGGACTGGGGAAATAACATCGGGGAGGCCCTTCGTCCTGTCTGGGAGAAACCTTGGTGGCTTCTCAGAGGTGGTGACCTCCAAGTTGGGACCTGAAACTCCTTCGCCAGGCATTCAGACTCTTCGGCCTGGCCTCTGCCTCCTCTGCCCAGACCCTGGCCCAGAACTCATGCTCAGTGCGTGTTTGTTGAATGAATAATCTGAAAGCTGTAGAACAACGTGATACAAAAGCAGGACAAAATGGTCCACTTCTACAAATTCATTTAAAAAAAGGTTATCAGGAGCATGGAGTGGGCTTTTTCTCCCAAAGGTGAAAGGAGGAAAGAAATGAAATCTTGGGGGGCAGTGGCTGGGGGAGTTCGGGCTGTTCCATGGAGAGGGTTTCCTTGGGCTGAAAGTCACCCAGGGCCAAGAGCTTCCCCAGGATCTGTCCCAGGGGTGAGAGACGCGGTTCTCTGCCCCTGCCCCAGTCCACACCCCGCCCCCTCCCTTCATTCCCGGGCCCGGCACCTGTCCCAGCTACCAACCCTCCATTTCATCCAGGGAAATACTTCTAAAATAACACCCTGACCTTGTCACTTTTCTGCTTGTAGCCTTCCAGAACTTCCCCATGATTACCTCATACCTTCACTGCTTCCACCTGGCTCCAAAACCCTCCATGGCTCCCCTCTACACTGAGGATAACATCTGGTCTCTTTGCAATGGCCTGTGATTGGGGTCCAGCCCACCTCTCCCAGATCGCAGCAACTCCTGACCCGCACGCTCTGCACCCCAGCAACCCCGCACTCCTCACTGTCCAGAACGCCCCACTCTCTCTCTTGTTCGCATGCTGTCCCCTCTGCCTTGAGCATTTTCATTCCTCTTGAGCTGGATGGCTCCCATTCATCCTGCAGGATGTTCGTCCTGATGTCCATCCTGTGGCAGGCACCCCCTCAGTGCAGCCTGGGCACCCCCACAACCCTTGTGACCCACGAGCTCCCTGGAAGTAGCCCGTGTCCCTGGCCACTGCACCCCCAGCACCCAGCAAATCCAGTCACGTCCTATCTATTTGTCACACCCACAAATGGAGGTGGTGCATGGCCTTTGGGCAACCATCCTGTAAGGACCACAGCCAAGAGCCCATTGTCCATGCCTCACAACAGCTTGGGGGGGGGGGGGGGCATCCTCCCGGCTGATGGATGAGCAGCCAAGGCCCAGAGGGGAAGGACTTGCCTGGAGCCCCACACAAGCCCCACGGCTTCCAAGATTCACCAGATCCAGGCCCGCTCGGCTGACTCAAGCACATGCTCTTCCCCACCATGCCCTGAGTCTGGGGATGGGTCAGATTCTTCTCCGCATGTGACAAGGACTATGGCTATGGCAGGAAGGAGGAGATGGCCCCCCAGCCACCCCGCACAAACTCTCCTCTCCACCCTGACTCTGGCCTCACCTTCCCTCGTGTGGACACTGCTTCAGTGCCTTTCCTGGCCCCCAGACTCCCTTTATCCAAAGCCCTTCCTTCCCCTAGAGCCTCCCCTGCCTCTGCTCCAAGGCTCTCCATGCCCTACCAGAACAGAGCCCAGGTCCCTCGTCTGGCCTCCTCTGCCCTGACCTTGTTTCCGTCCCCACACTGGCCCCAGACCGCATGGGGGCCGCGCCCAGGGTGGGGGGCACAGAACATGGGCAGGTACATACACTGGCTGGTTTATTGAGCAAAGTCGTGGAGACTCAGTAAGGCACGGAGTCCAGGAAGGAGGTGGCGTGCCCTGGGGAACGTGGTCGGCACTACCCGGGCCTCAGTGCTGGGCACTCCATCCTGGGGAGTGCTCCCACTCTCTGAGTGGCTCTGAGTGCTTCTCTCCTTCAGGTCCTTCTCCCGGGGAGCCTAAGAATAAGGGGCCCTTCTTTCCCAAGAGGGTGAGTGCAGGGGATGGGGGCCAAGGGTAAGGAAGAGGCAGCTCTGTGGTCTGGAGGCAGCAGGAAGGAAGGGCTCAGGCTTGGGCCTAAGGCTCCCCCTCCCTGAAGGCACTAAGAACAGGGGGCCCAGCTCAGGGGCAAGTCCTGGAGGTGGGTAGGGGTAGGGGCTCAGCGGGCTGACTCACTGAGCCCCGAGCACCAGGTGGGCAGGTTGCAAGGGGCTGCCTCAGCTGAAGTCGCGGTTTGGCAGGAGGAGCGGGGCCACCAGGGTCCACAGGTAAAGGAGCAGCCCCGCCCAGCTGGCACAGATCTTCACCCACACGGCGGTCCACGTGCTGATCATCTTCTGGGTCTCGCCGGGTCTGGAACACACCGTCATCCCAGTGACCTCAGTTCTGATCCTGCCCTTACCACCCAGTTGTGACCCCCTGACTTCGACTCTGGCTCTCAGTCTGTAACTCTAGCCGCCCATCTCTGATATTTTTGACACTTGGCCTTGGCTCTGTCTTTGACCCTAGATGTAGCTTTTGACTAATACCACAGACCTGACCCTGACCTCAATTTCAACACTGACCCCAGTCCTAGACTAATACTATAACCTGACTCCTGGTCCCTGCCTTTGGGACCCTGGAGCTCCCGACCTTAGTCTTGATCTTCAACCTTGACTCTGACCCTCAATCTTGTAACTCCATCCCTGACCCCTGACCTTAGGACTGAGCTGATATCTTTGACCTTAATTCTGACCCTTGACCCTCTAACACCAGTCCTGACCCCTGACCTTGTTACTCTGTTCTTAGTTCCTTGACCTGGCAACTTCAATCCTGGCTTTATGGCCTGCTAACCCCAATTTTAACCAAAAGAACCAAATCTGTGACTTTATATGGCCCCAGTCCCAACCGTTGACCTCATGACTCCTATTCTTGACTCTGACTGATTCTAACCCCATACCCCAAATCCTAACCCTCCAGCCATGAATCCCAGCTCTGACCTTGTAACGCAAATCACCACTCCTGATCTGTAAGGCCCATCTGCCCTGCAAAGGCCCAGCATCACCTCCTATGACCCCCACTTCTCAGGCACTTAGTGACGGTACAAGCTACAGGGCAGACTAAGGCACTGGCCCGGAAGCTGGGGCATGGATGCGCAGGCTCTATGGAGGGTCCTGGACAGGCTCCTCTATGGTCATGCCTGAAACAGGCATCAGGAGAAACCTGGGGTGGAGGGGCAAGGAGATGGGCGGCCTCCACACCCCAGCACAGCGGATTCAGTCCATGCCTGGCCAGGCTGCACGCACCTGTACCAGTTGGTAAGCGTCATCATTATGTGCAGGGATGCGAGCACCAGGCAGAAGTGGAAGAAAGAGTAGCTGTAGGTGACACCGTCCTGCTCGTTGTCAAAGGCCCGGCCCTTGCATTCCACCACCTGCCGCTGCTGCGTGACCTCCAGCGTGGACGGACACTCCTCCGTCTGCATCAGGCTGTTCACCTGCCGGTGGTCCGAGGAGCGCAGACTGTAGGGGAGGGAGGGCGGAGGCAGGCAGGAAGCTCCAGAGGGCCTCACGAGCCATGCCTTTGGTCATAACGATGGGCACCATGGTTCCAGAACCTCAGGGCCTGGTGACCTGGTGGTTAGGCTCTGGGCCCACCCTCTCACTGCTTTGACTCCGAACTCCACCCCCACCTCCTGTGTGGCCTTAGGCAAGACACTGAACCTCTCTGGGCCTCTGTAAAATTGGGGGTTACAGTACCTCCCTTGTGGAGTTGCCAGGAGGACTAATACTGTAAAGCCCCCAGCACTGTGCCTGGCACAGAGTATAAACTAGAGAAACAGGCGCTGTTATTCAGGTTGTCCATCTGCCAATCCCATAAATATGTACTGAGTAGCTAGTACTGCAAAGGACCATACCAGGGATGGCATTCATTGATAATATTAATAATTAAGAATACTCATTTGCCATTAAGTTTGTTTTCCTCCTGTTAGGTGAGTAGTTTTACCAATGACATCCCCTTTCTTCATGTTTATTATAAAAAAAAATACTAACAGCAATGATTTTTTGGTCATTTCTGTAATGAGGTCTTGATGTTTTTAACAGTATTTTATAGTGTGAGACACATAGGCAATTTTGAAAATCCAAGTCGCATTTGGGAAAAAAGTGACACAGGAGATCTGGACCCCAGCCCCACCCCATCAAGCTGAGAAGTCACCCGCTGAGCTTCTGCTGACCCCAATCATCATCAAACATCATGCTGATATCTAATGTTTGGGAGCCCGGGTCCTGGTGCCACAGCTGGGCACGAAGGCCATCCTCAGGGGTCCCTGCCCTTGTGGCTGCTTGTGCTTCTTCGCTTCCTGGGTTTTAAGAACTGTGCTTAAGAGGGAGCCTGGGTGGCTCAGTCGGTTAGGTGTCCAACTCTTGGTTTCGGCTCGGGTCATGATCTCAGGGTCGTAGGATCAAGCCCTATGTCTGGCTCTGTGCTCAACAGGGAGTCTGCCTGAGATTCTCTCTCCCTCTCCCTCTGACCCTCCTCTGCTCGCTCTCTCTCTCTCTCTCTCAAATAAATAAAACTTAAAAAAAAGAAAGAAAGAAAGAAAAGCACTGGGCTAAGAACAGACAGGCCCCTGGGCTCTCAGAGGCACTGCCCCGTGACTGCAGGCCGGGGCGGGGGGCGAGCGTCTGGGGAGCAGGACAAGGTGCTGTTCTGAGCCTGGGTGCTGTGCGCGTGGCCTCGGGCAGGTGACTACTCCTCCCAAACCTCCCGTCTCCTTATCTGAACCATGGAGGTGATCTGGGCCTTTCCAGGTTGAAAAAGGGATCAAGTGAGGCAACAAAGAGTGACCTGCCCAGGCTTTGAAAAAGGTCAAAACAAAATGTGAAACAGCCTCAAAATGTTCAGAGACAGGTGTGCGGCTCTGAGGAAACCAGGCCCTGCCCGGGATGGACGAGTCAGGGAGGGCAGAGGAGCCGGGCAGAGCCTCCTCCGGGCCGTCCTGCGGAGCTGAGAAGAGCAGCACTGGGAGCGATGCTGGGCCCTGCGGAGTCAGTCATGAGTCCGCCAGACTTGCTGTACACGGCAGTCACCCTCAGCATCACCATCTGGTGACTTTACACAACATTCACTCCCTGCCACCCAGCTGTGCAAACATTTACAGTTACTTGCAATTAAAGCAAACACCTATTTGGCGCTGCCTTCTTGCCAAGTTCCTTTCTAAGAGGCTTATTCATACTAACTCATCTACCACTCCTCCACGATCCTGTGAAGTAGGTACTATTTTTATCCTTATTTGACAGCTAAGCAAACCAAGGCACCGAAAGGTGTAGTGACCTGCCCAAGATCGCACTGCTGCTAAATGGCACTGCCACGTTTGAACACGGGCAGTTTGGCTCCAGAGTCCACACTGATAAGCACTTGCTAAGAGGCCCCTTTAAAAAAAAAGCTGTTACATGATCTTCAGTCTGAGCTGCCCTCTCCCACGTGACAGTGTGGGGTCCCCACCACCCAGGCATTGGAGGACACCATCCTCCACCATCACAAAAGCTCAGAAAGGTGAAGCCACTTACCCGGAGATGACACAGCAGGTTGAGTGACAGAGCCCACACCTGCACGCCCCAGTCCAGGCTTCTTCCCTGCCCCCACAGGTGCCTGCACCCTGGGCCGTGCCAGCCCGACGTGCAAGAAGGGGCCCTGGGCCAGGAGGCAGCGTCCAACCATGCCCCGGTTGCCCAGTCACGCTGTGCCCTTGGAGGGACTCCGTTTTGCACCAGCACGGGGCTGGACCTGCGCTTGCTAAGGGCGCCTTCCCGCTTGGTGTCTGGGCTCCCACATCCTCCCCTCACTCGCACCTTCAGGCCCCCAGAAGCCAGACCCCCCCCCATACCCGATGAAGAGGGTGCACAGGATAAAGATGATGAGTCCCACGATGCTCGGTGCATCCCACCAGTGGGTCTCGTAGCCGTCGGGGCCTGCCAGGATCGTCCCATTGCTGAAGCGGGTCAGCAGGTGGGGGTTGCATTTCTGGTCTAGAGATGGGAGCATAGTCACCCTCAGCCCCTGCAGGCCAGGCCTGAGGAAGGGCAGAGAGCCAACCCAAATGGACAGACACACATACAGCTGAGCATCCAAATCCCAGCAACAGACAGAACTTAGCAGACAAATGACAGAGAAAGAGCTCCAGGAACAGACAGGGCCCTCCTAGCTCCCCGAAGGACTAAGAGGGGGTACAGGCTGAGCTGAGATGTCCCTGTCACCTGGGACGGTCTCCAGCCTTCCAGAAGGCCGTGCTGACCCAGGAATGAGCCCAGGCTTCCCCAAGCCCAGGCCTGTACTCACCGGGGACACTGGACAGGGCCAGCCAGGTGACAAACATGGTGTAGAGCGTGATGACCGAGGCCTGCAGCAGACCCGAGTTGGGCTGGGCGTCCTGGAAGAGCAGTCCATCAGGAAGACCCCCGTCAGACCTGGGGCGGCACCCCACCCGCACCTAGCCCACTCACACCCCACTGCGGCGGGGGGGAGCCTTAGGAATCCCCACCACCCTAGAGCCATCCCATACCACACCCTTTGGGAGAACACAGCACCCGGGCCACCCACCACCCACCTCGCCCAAAGGTGGAGTCCTCATTCTTTTTCTTCACAGACTTACCCCAGTCGCACCCCTACTGAGAACGCACCCAGGGCAGGATCCCTTCACATTCTGAATTTAAGCCCTCCCTGGTTTGCCCCTGCCTTTGTCTCCAACTGTCCACCCCCCCAGCAAGTTCCTCCCCTCCAACTGCACTCAGCTAAGCTGGCCTCCTCTCTGTCCACAGAACCCACCAAACCCTCTCCCACCTCAGGGCCTTTGCATTCGCTGTGCCCTCTCCCTGACACGATCCTCCCCAACATCTCCACATAGCCAGCCTCTCGTTAGCATTCAGGCCTCAGCTCAGAGTTCTCAATGAGGGCCCAACACCCTGACCCCCGCAGCAACCCCCGCTCCCCTCCCAGCCGGCCCACCCACCTTTTGCCCACTCTCTTTTATTTCCCACATAGCAGGTATGATCCCAAATTATCTTCCTTGGCCTCGTCTCCTACCAGCTGTTCTTCCCCACCCTCACCACACACACACTTAGAAATAAGAATCCAAACTGATTAGGAGCGCAGGGTCTGGGGCCAGCTGCCAGCCCCGCCCCCAGTGCGCCCACAGCCCCGCCCCCAGCGCGCCCCAGCCCCGCCCCCAGCCCCCCCCCGCCCCCCCCCCCGCCCCCCCCCCCCCCCAGCTGTGTGACCTCAAGCGCTTCTCTCTCCTCCTCTAAGCCTCCCTTTACTGGTCTGGAAAGGGCGGACGATGGCGGTGCCTGGACTACATGACGGGACAGGTGTCATCAACTAGCAGCAGCTGTTACTCTTCCCCTCTTCCTCACAGCTGCACCCCCAACATCTCCAAGAGGGCCTGGTATACAGTAGGCGCTCCGGAAGTATTTGCTGAATGAATACTGATTACTGTGTGAGCTGGGACAGAGGCATCACCCTCTCAGGGCTTCAATTTTCTCACCAGGAAATAGAGGCTCAGATGAGAAGGGAGGTTCCCCACCTTTCTGCTAAAGACCCTCAAAGGCTCCCCAAGCTACCTGTGAAACCCCTGGGGAGCTGAGATTCCCCAACCATGAGGCACCGCTGGGCTCATCGGGCTCTGAAGAGCACACGATGCCCTGGGGAGCCCCACCCGTTGCCCCCAGGCGGTCTGGGACTGGAAACTGTGCAACTGCACCTCCTAACACCGCTTGTTGAGGGGTCTGGGAGTCGTCACTCAATGGTCCTCACTAGTGGTCTCCCGATTTCCATAAAGACAACGATGATAACAACAGTTCATGTCTGATGGTTATCTATAGGCCAGGCCCTGTTCTCTGTGTTCACAAACTCTGTCTCAATTCTGCAAATATCTCCAAAGGGTCGGCATTACCCTCATTTCTACATGCGAGAAGAGAGAAGCACGGGGAGGGTAAGGCACTTTCCCAAAGACACCCAGCAAGTAGCCATGAAAGCTGTGACTCCAACCCAGGGAGGCTGACTCGGGAGCCCAAGCCTCTGGGACTGGCAGCCCTGCCCCAGGACCCCAAGGCTCCTACCAGAAGTCTCCCCCCACACCAAGGGGCCCGGCGTCAGTCTCACCTGGACCTTGGGCAAGACAGCGACAGTGGAGACGCAGAAGCAGAGAGTGAGGTTGAGGCCGATGAAGACCTTGCCTTCATAGCAGGTGCCGGGCTGGGTGTAGTAGATGAACAGCAGCGTCACGGCCGCAGTGGACAGTGTGTAGAAGAGAAGGGTGAAGAAGAAGAGGCCTGCGAAGCGGGGTGGCAAGTGGCTGGGTGAGGAGGCAGAGGGACCCCCCTCCCCTCGAGGGGGCTTGTCGGGCAGCCCCCTGTGTGGGCCTCGGCTTCCTTGTCGGAGGAATGACATCAGTGTCTCCTGAACGTCTGTCACTTGCCAACGCTTGGGAGAGCTTCTGCCCCATCCTGACCTAAAAGGACTCCCTTGCCATTAATAAGTTAACCATGGAAAGAAAGGCAGTGAATACAAAAGAGTCTTTCACAAAGTCCACTGGATGCACAGGGACCCGCTGAAGCCCTGCTCCCTCGTCAGAGAGACCAGTCACTTTTCAGAGGCGTGAAAACCAAACTGGCACCTAAGTGAGCCTTCCTCCTCAGTCAGCTCAGGAGAACTGAAAGGGAGCTGAGCAGGGACCCACTCTGCCCCGGGGGCTTCAGGGACCCAGTGTCATTTGGTTTGATCTGGGCTGGCTATGCACGGCCCGTCCTGCAGGAATCACTGAACTAGACCCCGCCAAGGTCTCTCCGGTCCGGCTCCCCTCTAATCGCCTCCCAAAGTCACCCCAGACCCAGCCGCCCCTGCCCACACCCACACCCTTCCCTCCATCTGCCCAGGAGGGTTCAATTGCTGCAGGGGGCAGCTCCAGATGCTCTGAGGCTTTCCTCTAGCTTCGGGGACCCCCTGTGCTCAGGAAGCCCCAGTTGCAAGCGCGGGGGCTCTGGCGACGTCGCTCACCTGCATACCAGGCCCGGGAGTCACACTCCTCAGCCTTGCCCAGCCACCGCTGGTTCCAGGAGTGAGCAAAGTCGATGAGCAGGACCAGCTGGATGAGGATGAAGAGGAAGGAGCCCACGACACCGAAGTAGAACCAGACTGTGTGGGGGGAGGGGAGAGTCCAGAAGGGGGGAGGGGGCAAGGCGGTGGGGGAGCAGCCTGAGCACCAGGCTCCCTGGGATTAATGCGGCAGGCGCCCTCCCGCGGTCTCCCTCACATGCACATTTACTCATTCAACAATTTGTGCCGTGCCCAGAGAAGAAGCAGAGTCCCTGCCCTCAGGGAACCCCTAGCCATGTAGAGAGAGGCAGCGTGGCGGGGTATGGGGCAGGGGTGAGGCAGCTTCTACCCACCTGCCCCCCACCCCACTGCCATATTGCCCAAAGGCCATGTGGCCAAGCACCAGAGTGCTGTCTCCTGGCCCGGGGGGTACCCAGTCAGCAGCCTGAGGTCTGTGTGCCAAGGCAAAGAGCAACCAGTGCTCCTCCCTCTGGAGACCCCAACTCCCTCCTGGTAGCCCCCCATCCCTCCCACCAAGGCCACCTACCATTGGAGAAGGAGCCGTCAGGGATATAGAATGCGCCCACGGTGATGCCCATGAGGATCAGGAACTTAAAGAACCAAAATCTATTGGGGGTGGGGAGGACAGACCGACCAGGGAGCTAAGTGGGGGGAGGGGACCAGGCCCGGCCCCCAGAACCCCTACCCCCAAAGACCAGGTCCTGGGTACTGGGCAAGTGAAGAGGGGCTTTCTGATGGTCTGATGGGCACAGAAAGTCTGTCCCAGCCCTAGAAAAATCCCTGAGGGACAGAGGGAAGGACTAAGTCAGAGTGACGGTGGTCACCCAGTTTCTTGTCCCAACTGTGTCACTAAAGTGTTGTGTGGCCTTAGGCATGTTCTCACCCTTTCTGACTTTTATTTCTTCATCTGAGAAGTGGGAAGAACTAAATGAGCTGATCTCTGTGCTTCGGTGGCTCACAGTCTGGGGGCAGGGCCCGGAGATGCCTGGAGACTGGCCGGGGGGCAGAAAGCATGGTGCGCGTCCCGGCTGCGGGGGCGGGAGGGGCCCTCACCCGTTCTGGACGGCAGCCCTGGGGTCCCGGCTGCTGCGCACGCAGATCATGAACAGGGTGAAGAGGAAGAAAAAGGCTGCTGTCGCAAAGCACATGCGGTAGACAGCACGGTGGCCGAGCAGGGAGCCACAGTCGATGTGGCCCTGAAGGATGACGGGGGTCCCGGCCCCCTCTTCACACACCCACGGCAGCTGTGGGGAGACAAAGCAGCATGAAGGCCCCCCGCCCCCAGAACCCTGGGCCGACTCTGCCAAGGCTCCCTCCTTCCCCCCCATCGGCACCCCTGCCCGGCCCTGGGGCTGAAGTCCTGTGAGTGGCCCTGAGACAGATGGAAACACATGGTCCAGTGACAGATCATTCCTCTCTGCCTGTCTCCCTGCTGTCGCACCCGCAGCCTCAGGACCTCATGGCACTGAGGGAGGCAGGACTGAGTGCTCCCCACCTACCACTTACACCAGAACCCCGGGGACTCTGGGGGAACGTGAGATTCCAGGCTCCTCTCAGACAGAACCAGAGTCAGAGGTGGGGTCTGAGAATCTGCATTTCTAGCACACCCCCCAGGGCATTCATACCATCACACACACTCGAATGTCAGAGCCACTGGCCTAAATGTGGCACTGGGTCTGGGCCAGGCTCTGAGATGCTGGGATGAAGGGAAGAGTAAGGACCCCAGACCTTAGTGCTCAAGCACTAAGGAGGGAAAAGCATGCCCCAGGGGCCAGTGTCCAGGGGGGACAATGATGATTTGTAAGATTCTCCAAGGGGCCCACGGCTTATGAGGAACAGGAATTCTCATGTGAGGTTCAAACTCTCCTCCTCACATGAAGAAATGCCCCCATCACCAGCCCTGGATGGTGGGCGCCCCAGGACACTCCCGCCCCGCCTTCTCGATTAGCTGGGACCTCAAGCCGTGTGTGGGGGGGGACCGGCCTGGAGCAACTGGGCCTGCGCTTCAGGCCTGGTCCCATGGGCTGCCCCACTCGCCTGCCTGCCCCGGGGCCCCTCACCTTGTGGAGCTGACTCTCCACGCTGGGGCTCAGCATGATGATGGACACCAACACCCCCAGGAAGAGGAAGGCCGTGAAGCTGAGACGGGTCACGGTGGAGTTGCGGCTGGAGGGGCAGCAGCCGCACAGGATGCAGGGGGCAGAGCCGCAGAGGCAGGACACCTGGAAGGGCAGGACGGTACCCTTACTCCCTGCCTCCTCCCCCCTCCCCCACCAGAGCAGGAGCACCCGCCACCTGCCCATCCATGTCTCCAAATCTTTGCCAAGCCTGCCCTCCCTGGGCCTCAGACATTATCCCATTGAACGTTCAAGCCCCAAAGGGCACTGAGGAAACCAAGCTTCGAAAAGGTTGGGTCACGTGGTTTCTTACGTAGGGGGAGGCAGAGTGGTGATAGATGATAGATAGATAGATAGATCGATCGATCCAGAACACCAGCTCTAACACCGATAAGCTGTGTGGCCCTATACAACTCACTCAACCTCTCTGAACCTCAGCTTCCTCTTCCATAAGATGGGACTCATAATGGTACCTACCTCTCACAGGAATTTTAAATTATAACACGCTCCGTCTTCCTTTGCCCCCTCCCAGCTTAGCTTTTCTCCATAGGACTTGCGATCCCTGCCTGGCTTTCTCTTTTACTCATGTTTGTCTGCTTGCCACTTCTGGCATGTAAGCTCCGTCAGGGCCGGGGCTTTTGTTCACTGTGGCAGACCCACAAATTGGAACGGTGCTTGGCTCACAGCTGGAGCCCAGTGACTATTGATTGAACAAATGCAAAGTGTCTGGCATAGTCCCAGACCCATGTTAAGACCGCAAGAAACAGCCAGCACGGGATAAACATCTGCTGAATGAATGGAATGCAGAATTGTGAGTGACTGTGATTTCCTGCTCTGGGGCTGGCCCTGTCCTGGACACCAGTGGCCGTCTCCCCCTCTCCCTCTCCTGGTACTTCTGCCCAAGCTGGCGCCAGCCCTCCCTGGGGCCGGCTGAAATCATGTGGGGGCTGGTGATACCACTCTATTCACAGCTGGTATCCCAAAAGACGACTGACCCCTCGGGGAACCAGGCCTACATCCAGATACATCTGGTCACCAGTTTATCTCCCCTATGACCGCCCCAGCTCTTCACCCAGGTATTTAAGAGTCAAGAGCAAGAAAGATACCGGTTCTGCCCTCCTGCAAGAAAGACACTCAACAATCATTCCACCTGTGGTGGTCATTGCCGCTCTGAGAGTCACTGACGGGGGCCTACTTCAGACCGGGGATGGAGGGTCCCTTCTCAAATGAAGTGACATTTAAGCAGAGCTAGAGAATGAGGAGGCCCTCTCCCAACCAGGGGGAAGAAAGAGTGTTCCAGACAGAGGGAACAGAGGTGGAGGCAGCTGTGAGGCAGGCAGGAACTGGGCGATGGAGGAAGAGAAAGAGGCCCTTGGGACCGAAGCTTCGAGAGCAGGTGGCAAGTGGGGGTGACAAGGTCAGCCAGGCTTGGGGGGGGGGCTGGTGGCCATGTGCAGAGCCCTGGGGTTGATCATCTGAGCAGAGGGCAGCCAGCGAGGGTCTGAAGCTGGGAGGGACACTGAAATAGGCTTACACTGAAAAGGTGGCTCTGTGGAGGGCACGCTAAAGGGGCTCCTTCCTCCTCAGAGACCTCGCATCCGACTTTCTGGGCTGGTCCCAAGGTGTGCACTCTGGTCCCAAACTACACTATGCTTGAGGTGTAGCTGCCCTCCCGTCTCCCCTTCCCTTCCTCCCAAGAGTGGAAACGCCCCTGGATACCCATCTGTCTCACCCACAAGGCAAGTACAACATGTTTGCTAAATGAAACGCCTGCAGAATGAATTTCCTTTTCATGGTCCAAATCATAACTGGTCCAGCAACTCCTGGTTACATCTTGCAGCCCTCACTCCAAGCCCTGCCTCCTACCCCTGGCTGCCTTTTGGGGATAAAGGGATGCGCAAATGCCAGAAACATATTTCATAAACCATAAAGAACAGTCTGGCTATGAGACAGACTAGCTATTAGCCCCATTTTACAGACAAGGAACCTGCGATCAGAGAAGTTAAGAACGTGCCAGAGTCACCCAGCAAGTGGACGGCAGTGCTGAGGTTCAAGGAGTAAGAGTGAGCGTCCGTTTAGAAGGTGCTCGGTCCCAGGCACCGTGGTAAGCCCCTTATCTCCATGACTCTATGCAGGAAGTGTATTGTACCTCCCACTTACAGACGGGGAAAATGACTCGGAGGGGTGACATGACCAAGGTCACAGAGCAGGTAAGCAGAGGAGCTGGTGTTCGAGCTCCCGTCTGCCTGTACCAGGGGCCCACTAGCTCACTGACGGCAGTCTCTCTTAATTTCAAAACACCCCAGGGATGGAAATAATCCCTCGGCTGCCATAGAAAACCCACAGAGGCCCTTGAGCACTGATCTTAGGAACCATGTGCTAAAGGACCCGAGTCAGGGCCTGGCTCTGGCTTGTTACCACTTCAATCGGAGACATTTGAGACATAAGAAAAGCCACCCCAATGCACTTGGGGAGCCTGGCCTTTCAGTTCACCCTAATTCTTGGAGATCAAAAGCCCGGTGTTCCTGACATGCGAAACCAAGGACCGATAGCCAGACAGACCAGGTCAGGGAGAGAAAAACACACAGCAGCCCCCACCCCCAACTGCTGCTAGCGCATCCTTGGAATCCCTCGTGCGTTCTGACCCAGTCTCTCAACCCCCAGGGCATCGCTCCTACAAGAACCTCTTCCTGCAGCAGTACCAGCTCACAGGAGTAAGGGCGGACACGTGCGCACGCACCTCCACACGCACACACAAGTTCAGTGTGGCGCTGCTCACACCCGGAAAGTACTAGGGGGAAGCTTAAAATAACGAAATGCCCACCCATACATCGTGGTCCTCCCCTATGAGGGTCTCCGCTGAATGCGGCAGATGTGTAGGTGATACTTAAAGGGGTACACATAACTAAGTATAATTAAATATAAATTCTACCTCAATAAAGCTGATTTTATTACTAAAAGAGAAAAATTTTAAACTTAAAACAAAAAACCAAAATAGGCACAAAGCTTTAGGTTTTATGAGCTTATTAGAATCTCAAGAGACTGCAAATAACCTACAAGTCCTGCGCCGGGGGCCCGTGGTGGTCCATCTACTCCGTGGAACGTTACAGGCGCAGGAAAGAAAAAAGTCCCCGGGCTGCAGGGCAACATGGACTAACATTAATGGCGTAAGGTGAAAAGCCAAGGCAGACATAACATCGCTCCTGGGCTAAGATTACACCCCTGCCCCCAAATGCACCCAGGGCAGCGGCAGCAACAGAGAGGCCCCAAGACACTGGGTACGTGTTAGCAGCAAAATGCAGCCAGGTTCTTGGAATGGGGAGTCAGATCTTAAAAAGCCCCGGGTCTTACGGTTTTCAGGCTGCAAGCCTCCTTGGCATTTAACTGTTCCAGCCTCTCTCTAATGAAGAATCACCCAGAAGGCAGCCTCCACTGCTTACACACTGCCAAAGACCAGGAGCTCACAACCACCTGAGGCAAGCTGGACTGCTCTGGAACCATGTGTGCTTTGGCATGATGGGAACAGGCTGTCACCAATCATTCACACTCTCTCCTGGTTGCCCCTAAAGCCAGGGACGTGGGTTCTCAGGACCATTCCTGGGGCACCGGGCAGGCGAGGAGGCAGCCAGGGTTGGGGCCACAGTTTAAAGTTGATTTGTTTAAAATAAACTAACCCGGGGCGCCTGAGTGGCTCAGTTGGTGAAGCGTCTGCCTTCAGCTCAGGTCATGATCCCGGGTCTGTGTCGGGCTCCCTGCTCAGCGGGGAGTCTGCTTCTCCCTCTCCCTCTGGTGTGCGCGTGTGCTTTCTCCCTCAGATAAATAAAATAAATCTTTTTTTTAAAGATTTTTATTTATTTATTTACTTGAGAGAGCAAGAATGAGAGAGAGAGAGAGCACATGAGGGGGGGAGGGTCCAAGGGAGAAGCAGACTCCCCGCTGAGCAGGGAGCCCAATGCGGGACTCGATCCCGGGACTCCAGGATCATGACCTGAGCCGAAGGCAGTTGCTTAACCAACTGAGCCACCCAGACGCCCCTAAATAAAATAAATCTTAAAAAATAAAATAAAATAAACTGACCCTCCGCTTCCGGGTATTAGTCAAAAGCAAGGACTCAAACAGATAATCTGCACACCCATGTTTATAACAGCATTATTCACAATAGTCAAAAAGTAGAAGCAGCCCGCGTGTCCATAGACTGATGAATGACTAAACGCAATGTGGGATATACATACAAGGGAATATTATTGAGCTTTAAAAAGGAAGGACATTCTGACACCTGCTACAACACAGATGAACCTTGGGGACATTGTAGCAAATAAAATAAACCAGACACCAAAGGACAAATGCCATTCGATTCCACTGATACGAGAACCTAGAGCAGTCAAACTCACAGAGACAGAAAGTAGACTGGGGGTTCCCAGGGGCTGGGGGAGAGGGGCGTGGAGAGTTATTATTGAATGGGTAGGGAGTTTCAATTCGGGGAGGATGAAAAAGCTCTGGAGATGGATGGTAGGGATGGTTACACCACAACTTGGATGTAGTTAACACCACTGAACCGCACGCTTAAAAATGCTTAAAATGGGCGCCTGGGTGGTTTAGTCGGTTAAGCGTCTGCCTTCGGCTCAGGTCATGATCCCAGGGTCCAGGGATCAAGTCCCACATCGGGCTCCCTGCCTGGCGGGAAGCCTGCTTCTCCCTCTCCCTCTGCCTGCCGCTCCCCCTGCTTGTTCTTGCTCTCTCTCTCTTCTCTCTCTCTGACAAATAAATAAATAAAGTCTTAAAAAATTTCTTTTAAAGGGTTAAAATGGTCAGTTTTATGTTATGTGGATGTTACCACAATCAGGAAAAAGGAGGGGGCCGTTTTCAAGGACGAGTAAGAAGTCAGCCAGGTGACAAAGGGAAAGGTGTTCCTACAAAGGGAACAGCATGGGCGAAGCTGCAAGAAACACTGTCTCTTCGAGGCAGCTGTCAAGAGGAGACAGAGGGATGATGCAAGTGATGGCCACGGTCCCTGCAGGCCGCGCCAAGGAGTCCGCACTTCATCCTGAAGGCAGTGAGAAGCATCCTGCAGGAGAAGCAGAGCATCAGATCTGCATTACCGAAAGACCACTTTGGCCACAGATGGAAAACAGATGTAGGTGGCGGTGCGCCGTACCTCTGGGAACAGGGAAAGCGAGCTAGGGGAACAGACGGCAAGGGAAAGAAGACAAGGCCTGGAGTTTTTCTTGTGTGCTTCAACCCACAATATTTCCCCCTTCAGACACTACTGTTCATTTGGGATGATATCATTTTGATATCATAAAAATAGATAACAATTTTAAATGTATATATATATTTTTATATATGATATATATCATATATCATGAGATAAATTACAAACTCCTTGAAAACTAAAAGAAAATGTTACAATGGAAATTTTTTTAAAGATTTTATTTTTAAGTGATCTCTACACCCAACGTGGGGCTCAAACTCACAACCCTGAGATCAAGAGTCGCAGACTCGACTGACTGCGCCAGCCAGGTGCCCCTATAATGGTAAATTTTTATGTGACGTACATTTTGCCACAATTAGACAAAAAACTGGTCCCAGCGAGGATGGAGTGCACCTTGCAGGCTTCATGAACAGCCCCCAGTACTGCCCGAGCCACCCTGGGACTAGAGGAAGCACAGCAGAGGTCAGCCCCCAGACTACTCAGGGCACACGTACATCCCTGTGCAGCGCTAAGAATAGAGGGCCTAGCCTTGGCGCTGCCACCAACTTCCAGGATGACCTTAAACAGGTCTCTTTTCCCCGCCGTGGGACTCAGTTTCCTCAGCCATAAAATGGGCTCCTGGGCAGGACAGTGACGTGGCTCAGAGCCCAGGCTCTCCAATCAGACAGTCCCGGCTCCACCACCTTCCCAAATGTGGTCTTGAGCGCTTTCCCACTCCGGGGTGCTTAGAATGGCCACTGCCGGCCCGCTTCGTGCTAAGTATGTTGGCATGCTCCTCTCAGTCCCACTCAATCCTCACAACGTGCTGAGAGACAGACACCACTGCTCTCTCCACTTCCTTATTCCCTCCATCCCAGAGAGAGGGACAAAGGGACCGCCCGAAGTCACGAGGTGGGGGGAGAGGCCACGCCAGGATCTGAGTCCCTTCCTCCGACCCTTTCACGCTCCCTCGCATGTACAGGATAGAGAATTAGATTCAATGGCATGCAGATATTAGACAAGGCCTCCCTAGCTATTTGCTCACCATCCAGCCCACCAAGTACTGGCTGGCCTGGTGACTCCCATTCCATCATGGGCCCATCTTATCTCCTCCGAGCCAGGACTCACCCTCGGTCCAATACAAATGCTGACCAAAAGGCATGATGGGCAGATGCAAACGTGTCATGGCTGGAGGTCTTCTCTGTGGATCCACAGACTCCAGAATGTTCCCCCAAAGATGCCCAGGAACCCCTATTAGAACTTTCCTCCTGTGGAGCAAATCTCCATTGAAACAGGTTGTTTTTGGTTTGCTGTTTCTTAGTTGTTGTTGTTTTTTTTTTTAAGTAGGTTCCACGCTGGGCATGGAGCCCAATTCGGGGCTTGAACTCACAACCCTGAGATGAAGACCTGAGTTGAGATCAAGAGTCGGACACTTACTCCACTGAGCCACCCAGGCGCCCCCGAAATAGGTTGTTATCGGTGTCCAGTAAGACCCAACTGCACCACTTAATACTGTGTGGCTGTGGGGAGACCACCTTCCCTCTCTGATCCAGTTTTGTCACCTGCGAAATGGAAATCATGTTAACTGCCTCACTGCGGTCCTAGTTGGATTGGATGAGAAGACACACAGCCGGTGCTCACTGCAGTGCTGGCTTGTGCCACCACTGGACAGCGGCTGGGCCCTGAGTGAGGACACAGTGATGGAGGCAGCTCTTGGTATCATTATCTGAAACAGGATGACCGTGTCACAGGGCTCGAGGGAGAACCAAGACAGCACGGTGAGGGGCTCAGCACAGCACCTGGCATGTGGTAGGAACTCAGTAAATGTCAGAGGTCAGAAACCCAGGGGGAGGCCACTAAAAGGAAGGACAGGTCCCCTGCCGACATTAGATATTCAGTAAGTGGACCAGCCCTGTCCCCAGGCACCCGGGCTGTGAAGGGAGGGAAGATGTGGGCAGAAGCCTGGACCAGGAATCAGATTTTAATCTTGACCGTCCAGTCCCCCATCCGCTCTCTGCACAGCCTCTGGGAAGTCGGCTAACCTCTCTGAGGCTAACCTCTCGGAGCCGCAGTCTGTTGAGGGTTTGAGCAAGCCTTTCAGGTGCCTTCTGGTCTCAGCATTGTAAGATTCCATGACTCAGCGGCCGGCTTGGGCTCCAGAGAGAATTCTCCACCCACCCTTGCAAGAAGATAACAACAATAGCGCCACTCACTGTCGCCAGGAAGTAGGTGGGGCACTTTTTGATCTTCCTCAAATCACCAACCATGAAGGAGGCAGTTGGGGAGGCAGAGGCACAGGGGATTGGCAGGTCACCTCTCAACACGGGCCACTCCCAGGCCAGCCCGGCCAAATGGAAATCTGGTCAACTTCAAGGAAGCACTCCCTCCCCTACCAGGAAGCAAACCCTTCTTGGCCAGAGACCCAGCCCAAACCTAGAATTCACTGGGCAGTGGGCAGAAAGGGATCTCAGAGACCAGTTCTTGATTCCTGTGGGCGCGTGTCCACACACGCAACACACACACACTTCACAGGTGGTAAATGGAGGCCCAGAGAGGACAAGAGACTGTCCAGGGACCCACTCTACAGCCTCTCTGTGCAGATACCATTCTCAGAAAATGGTTGTAAAGTAAATCTCTAGATCCTTAAGCTCGCCACCCCTACACCCCATCCTAACACACACACACAAATCAGGGACAAAGGAAAGCAAGTCCTGAGATTCAGCAGCCACCAGACCCCCCTCTTCCTCTCTGCTTCTCTTTGTGTAGGGCAGAGGGGGAGGGAGCTGCCTGAATGAACCTCGGATTTAATGAGGGGAAGAGGGAAAGGAGAGGGGGCTGGTTAAAGGGAAAGGAGAAGGGGCCTCCCAGCCGGGTCGGGCTGAAGCTCCTCCCCTTTGCTGGCTGCAACCCCAAAGCAGAGTATGGCTGCCCCCGAGGTCCCCGAGCCCAGGCCCCCCGAGCCCAGGCGACCAGGTACTGCCCCACGCCCGCACACTCCGACTTTCCTCAATTCCTGGGTCTTCCAACCCAGAGCTGGGCCCGGTGGCGGTTGGCAACCCAAACGGACCTCACTCAAGGGTGGCTTAGGAAGGCGGATGGGGGCTTCCTCCCCACCCCCATTTCAGGCTCCGGGGCCTAGAGGGGAAGGGTCTGGGGTTCGTTGGGGAAGTGCCCAGGACTTAGTGTGAGCTAGTCTGAAAGAGGCAGAGACAAAGATGCAGAGAGACAGACTGGACGGTAGGACAGACGGACAGACACCCGTGAGACAGACAATGACTGATGGAGAAGCCACGGACGGACAAAGACAGTGGGATAAACGAACGGACAGAAACAGATGTCAGACAAATACAAATGGGCAAACTGAGGCAGGCGGGCAGGGAGACAGACTGACGGACGGATTGCCGGAGGGACAGAAAAAGACACACCGCAGAGTGGGGCAGGGACCAGGCGGGCCACACAAAGAGTCAGAATATCCGAGAGAGACGACAGGCGCACGGCGAGGACGTCTCCAAGTTGGGAGAGGTGGGGCCGCAGCGCGCACCCCCATCCCGGGCTCTGGGCCTCAGTCTCCCCAGTCCCTGAGAGGGGCGCCCGCCCAAGGCCCGCCCCTCCCCCCGCCACCCGGCGCGCCCCAACCCCTCCCCCGCGGTAACCCGAGCCCCGGACACCAGCTGTCCCCAGCGCCCGCGGGTCCAGGATGGGGGTGGGGGGACCGAGGGACGAGGGGACCCAGGGGGCGAGGTGGCGGGGTGCGGGCCCAGAAAGACAAGTTTGGAGAAAGAAAAAAGAAGAAACTATTTGGAGGAAGAAGACGGACAAAAGTGCGAGGTCGAAGAAGGAGCCGGCGGCACGCGGGCGGGCGCGGGGGTCAGGACTCACGCAGCTGAGCACGGAGCAGGCCCCCAGGCAGGCCCCCATGGCGGCGGCGCGGGGCGCGGGGCGCGGGCGGCGGGGCGCGGGCGGCGGGATCGCTGGGGCTCCGGGCGCCGGGTCCTAGCCCCGCCCCCTCCCCGCCCCGGTCGGGCCCCGCCCCCGCCCCGCCCCGCCCCACCTGCCGAAGCCTCTCGCCGCTTTCCGCCGGCGCTCGGAGCCTCCGGAGACTCACCTGGGCCAGGTGCGCCCGGCAAGACCCGCAAGACGGGTAGGGAAAGTGATGGGGCCCGGGACTCCCGCGGCCATGTGAGACGTGCAGCGGGACCCGACTCTGCCCCGGGTTCAAGTCCTGTTCCAAAGCGAGGGTTTGGAAATACCGAGACCTGGGTTCGAGTCCCAATGAGGCCACAGTGTGACCTTGCAACACTGTCCCCCCACAAGGGGCAGAAGCCAAGTGAGGGTCACCCCAAACTCCTCGGTGTAGAGCCTCCACCCAATACATAGGTGTTGAATGGTGCATGATTGGTTAAAGAAACTTGGGCCAAGTCACTTCACCTCTCTGAGCCTCAGTTTCCCCATCTGTAAAGTGAAGATACCCACCTCATGGGGCTGTTACAACACATAGTAGATGCCTGAAAAATGTGAGCTCCTCGTCATCCCTGTTTCTCCTAAGACCCCAGCCTCACACGCTTTCAGCCATCCTGCCCTCCATCCACCCCTTCTTCAAGCCCTACTGACTCCTGTCTTGGACCACATGCTCTCCTGAGTCATTCCTGCTGGCTGGCTTATTGCTCCCCAGAGATGCCCAAACTCTGGCCCCCAGTTAAGGAGGTCAGAAGAGGTGGGTGGGTCACATTCCCAGCCAACTGCCCCGCAAGGGTAGGTGGAGGAGACCCAGAAGCGGGGCTCTGTAATTACTCTCAGTTTACCCTCCAGCCCTCTCCTCGCTCAGCCCTAGACAGATAATGTTAGGGCAGGAAGTCTAAGTGCCTCACAGCTGGCCCTGGGGCCAGAGATCCGGCCTGACTGCCTCCGTGGGTGATTCATGGAGTGCCAGGCTATTAATCGTGCCCAGGACTGCTCCACAAACACACCCTAGAGCTTCCCTCCTCCCCGCTTTTGTCCCCATGATGCCCTCCCCCTGGAAAGACCTTTTTTTCTCCTTACCCCCCTTTCTGCCCTTGGAAGACTTGCTCATATCCCATATCTTCTCAGTGAAGAGAACCACCACTACCTCCAGACCCTATCACCCTAAGAAGTAGATTCATTCCCCACTCCACCCAGTTTACAGATCAGGAAACTGAGGCTCTAAGTGAAGTGATGTGCCACCTGTAAACCGAGCCCCGAAATCAACATTGGTTGTGATTATTGTGGTTGTTGTTATTGTTGCTCAAGACCACACAAGTCAGAAGGGCAGAGCTAGAAGACCACCTGGCCTGGCCTTGACCTTGGAATCCAAGGCCTGTCCCTGACATCTCACTGCCTCTCCTGGAAAGCAGAGGGGACGATATCCTCTCTCTGTGCAAGAATAGGTGCAGTCCTTCCCTAGTCCAAGACCCTCAGGAGACTGTGAGCCACGCAGGGAATGCCGGTGTCATGTCTGGCCGCCCCTCCCCTGACCGGGCCCAGCAGCAGGCCCGGCAAACAGTAGGCGGTCAGTGCTTGCTGAATGAACAGGTGTCTAACTTCCACCACAAGCCCAGTCTCCTCACTTGGTTGTGACCGATGGTCTGATCCCAAAACAGCCCGTTCACAGTCTTCTTCTCCCCAGCAATCCTCGGTGTCTGGAATGCCACCAAGCAGTCTGAGGAGACCCTCCCCACAGTCGCCTACCCTGGGTCAGCATCTTTTGACAGTTATGCCCCAAAGGCCCGACTCTCCCTTCCTGAACCTCTCCCTCACCCATGGCCTGATCCAGGAGAAAGCACCTAAGACCAAGACAAGCCACAGCTGAGAATCTTCTTCTGTCAGAGCTTCTGTCACCCTTGGCCATCCCGGGGGTCACTTCACCTCCCTCCCCTGCCCTGAAATGGGGATGCTTATCCTGCTTAACCTCCCGGAGCAGTTGTGAACATCGAGAAAGCATTTGAAGAAATAGGCAGTTGTCTGAAAGGAGGAAGGGATTAACAGAATTCCAAGTACCCAGCCCGATCTGGTTTTAGATTGCAATTTTCCAGTGCAGCGTGACGCCCTGCTGTTGTCCTGGCCCCACCCCACCCCAGATCCCTGGGACTTAAGCGAGCGGCCCTCGCGGCCCCCACGGCACCCTCCACGGAGGGGCCAACCGTGCTACGGATAACTCACTGGGCTGCCTTGTCCCGGTGACTCCTCTTCTCTCAGCCTCATGCTTCTTATCTGCAAAATGAAGACCGTTGTTTTTGCTTGAGCTATCTCAGGGGGTTATTGAGAGAAGAAATGAGGAGGTAGATAAAGAGGCTTCATTTCTTGTATCTTGCCCAGCCTGCCCACCTGTCTCCCAGTCTTGAACCCCCTTCGTGGACCAGAGTCACTCTGTCTCTCACACCTCCAGAGGCAAGATCATAGGCAGCAGCTGCGTGACCTTGGCAAGTCACCCAGCCTCTCTGAGCCTCACCGGAGGTTGGGATTCAGGATCATCGCAGTTCTTTCAACTACATCATACCTTGTAAACTATACCCATTGAGAGAAATATGCAAGAGTCGTACAGTCCATCCCTCTGTGCCCACCACCCAGCCCCCACGGGCGCTCAGCTCTCCATATCCCAAAGGAAACAGCCTCTGGCTTCTTGGCCACTCACCCCAAGGGTTCTCCAATCTGATCTCATTGGGCCTCAGTTTTCAAATCTCAAAACAGCAATAATTCCCTGCTCAAGCCCCTAGTGCCCCCCAGTGTTCCCCAGTCCAGTCTTGCCCCATCTCCACTCACCATCCTCCCGTCCATGAGGACTCAGATGCACTCTGGCTTGGAGCCTCCTATCCACGGGGCCTCGCTCTCCACAGTGGCCTCCACTTCCTGCTTCTGACCCATTTACAGAGTGGGGCTGAGGCTATCTCTTATGAATATGCATGTGGGATAATGAGGGCTTGGGTTTGGGGGAGGACGTGGGGAGAGGAGTTCACTAGGTGCCACCCACCCGCTCTCCCCATACACAGCCACCCACCAAGGCTGCCCTCCCTCCCAAAGGGTGCACGGGAGTTCAGGGCAAAGACTGAAGTGACAATAATAATAGTACCCCTGGCAACCATCTTTAAGTGCCTACAACACACCAGGCACCCTGCTAAGAGCATCTCCTGTAAGATGCTTTTAAGGTGGAAACTATTCTCCCCATTTAACAGATAGGGAAACTGATGCTCCAAGAAGTTAAGTAATGCACACATAAACCAGATGTAGAATGCACACAGCAATTACCTGCAGAGCAAGGTTGGAACATAGATTTTGTCGGACTCAAAAGCTGGTACTCCTAACCCCTGCCACACAGATGAACGGGATCAAGCCAGGAGCCCTGAGCACATGGTCGGGGGGCCACATCCAGCCCTCACACCCAGCACATGAGCTCATAGTGATCTTAGGTGACCAAGGCTTGGGGAAAGGCCCCAGCGACCAGAATTGACTCCATCTGGAAAGCGTGGAAACAGGGAAACAGGCAGACAGGTGTGTGCACACGGTACACATTCACACGTGTGCAGGTGCATGCATGATACATGTGTGAGCACAGACAACCACAGCGGGTGTTGTGTGTGCATGGATGTGGGCGTGACATGGTGCCCCCGAGGCTGCTCGGCATGTGCACTGCTGTGCCAAGTTTGTTCCTTTTTCAACCCACACCTGAAGGGGGCCTGCCGAGTGCCAGGTGCTGGTGTTGTGCCATGAACGAGACCAACACAGTCCCTGCCCTCCCGGCCGGACAGTCTGATGGGCTGTGCACCCATAGGCAGTAACACTTGGAAGGAATCTTTGTGTAAGGTGCTCTCTGTGGGACGTGGCTAGGAGGTGAGAGAGAAGATGGAGCAAAGCGGGAAAGGTGGGGCATGGCAGGGTGGGAGCTGCAGGGGAGCCCCTGACACTTGCCAGAAATGAGGGGTGGTGAGTCGGCTGGGACCTGGCAGGGACTCATGAAGGTTACAGGTCCAAGGATTCTAAAAGGTCTCTGGATGCTTCCCTCACAGACATCAAGGGTCTGCCACAAATGCCCATGTGGGCACTGTGTGTGTGTGTGTGCGTGCGTGTGTGGCTTTACATGTGTGTGCACAGGTGATTGCACATGTGCGGCGTTTGCACACGTGGATACATGTGTATGGAGTAGACAAGTGTGAACAGGGGACATGGATGAATCACACATGGTGTGTGCACATGGGGGATTTACATGGAGGTGTGTGTGGTGTGCAGATATGTGTGCAGCAGGGCCTGTTACTGTCAGGAAGAAGGAGAGAAGAATGTCATTTGGCCCAGGCCTCACATTCATGAGCCTCCAAAATGCATCAAAAAATAGACAGATGGATGGAGGGATAGAGAGATGAATAGATGGAAGGATGGATTCATATGCATTGATGGCCAAATGGAGAGAAGGAAGGGATGGAGCCCTGAAAATGTCATAAAGCAAATATTGCAAAATGTTCATTGGAGATTCCAGGTGGTGAGGGTATGGGTATTCACCATGAGATTCTTTCAATCTTTCTGGGTGCTTGATGCTTTTCACAATAAAATGTTAGAAAACAATGCACATGCCAAGGGGGCTGGATGTCTCATCCCAAAGAGCCATGCACTCGGTGGAAAGAACAGGATGCTCATCATACAATTTTAAACTCCTATCCCACTGCTGGGCCATGCAGCACTGTGAACTCATGGCTTTCATAATTCCTGCAATGATCTCCTGAATCTCTAAACTGCACTGCACTGGGTTTGTGAGTATGTGTGTGTATGTGTGTGTGTGTGTGTGTGTGTGTGTGTGTGTTAAAGAGATTAATTTTTTTTAAAAGAGGTTAATTTGTTAAATTAAAACATGTAAAACACCACCAGCCCGCTTAGGCATTTCTTAATGTTTAACTTACAGGGATCCTCAAAAAACCAGAACTGCTCGGGCCTCTCTTGGACTCCGGGAGTCCCTGTTGCCTGGGCG